AGAAGACCAAGATAGCGATTTACTGGCAATAATCCAGGTCTTTCTAAGAGGCCTTTGACTTTTGACAAGCAGTATATTAGACAGAAGGTGATCCCACAAAACGCTTGAAGTATCGCCACAAATATGACGTTACTTCAGTATTTCGATTCCTCGAAATTCATTGTTGCAGGCATCATCGCCTCATTTCACTTCAGTGATTGATCTTCTTTTTCCAGTTGATGACTTCAAGTTTGTGTAGGTCTGGATATATATTATCTTTTCACTATACAACTACCGACTGCAACATGACAATCAACCAACAGGTCACTTTTGTTTAAAACAGTATTTATTGTTCAATTTGGGCGGTATAAAAACATGTTAACAGTATGCACAGATTTTGGTAGTATTTACAAGATTATGGTAGTATTTACAATTAAGGATTCGACCAAGAGACTTTACAAAGGCCTTCATACTCTCACGTTCATGCTACAAGACTTCTACATGAAACAATACATATCATACACAGATAATGAAATCACCACTCACTTTATCCAAACATATTTTCTCATAAACAATTATGTCAACAAGGCACTTTCAACATTTGTTGGATCTCAATGATTTTAGGAATTTACAATGATTAACAATGGACAATGTTCTTAAATAAGTAATAGTGTGTTCGAAACTGAGGCTGGCATCTGTTGTCACACTTGTTTGCCTCATTTCGTGGAAGGCATGGGATGGACAAAGACGTTGTTGTTCCAAGAATGTGTTTGAGCAGGTCCTATACCTGGAATCTAGTAATTGAGATGTTTAAAACAGAAATACTGACTTCAGACTGAACAATCTGACATGACAAACACGTTTTAAAAGCCCTTGAATTATTCAGTATAAAATGTTTTCAGCAATATTACTTTTTATATCTGACAACAAAATTAGAATTAATAAACAGCATCCTTTCTCGGAAGCTGAAATATTTTGGCCATATCAAGCGCCACGACGGATTGGAAAAAACTATAGCAGAAGGCATGGTACCAGGAAGGAGGGGCATAGGCCGACAGACACGAAGATAGGCACAGGATATAAGTGACTCCTTGAGTATGAAAGTATATGAGGCAGGAGAACTGGCGAGAGACTGAGTTTCTTTCAGGCAGACTGTGATGAGAGCAACGTTCTGCAAAGGACCTGCTACATGATGATAATGATATCTGTCAATGCAAGCAAACTAGATAAACCCATAAATGACATCTATCTTCTATGACTGGAACGTTTCAAAGAAGCTAAGAAATCATTAAAAACAATTACTTTTTCTCATTTTTGTTTATATCCAGAAACCATGAGATGTTATCCCTTTGGCTCGGTACTATGGATATCGGAACCCTTCGGCCTTGATTCCATGATAGGTACCGTAAATCTGGGAAAAAAGTGGCTTTTCTGCCTACCCCGGGGAGTGAACCCGGACCACACGGAGTTCGTCACCCAGTCACCGCGATGTCAGGTTTAACCAACTAAGCTAGAGAGCCGGGCTAACTGAAATTGAATGGGTTCAAGTACAATATCTGTCTGTAACAGAAAGAGAAACAGTTTTTTTTAAAAAGTAGGTCATTGCTAAATCCTACTGCAGCAATAAAAGTATTCCCACCTGTGAAGTTTCCTCTATGAATTCATTATTTCTTACTTTGTGTATAGTACAAACAAAACAAAACAAAGTGCCTAGACCGAACCGATGAATATTTCATACGAAAAGAAGTCAAGTGACATATGGAATGATGACATGTAGTAGAAACAGAACACATTTTTACTTCACAAGATGATCTAACTGTTATTGTGGTATATCACTTAAAAAAAACCACAATAGCTGATGCCTTTTTTTAAAACAGTATTATCATTGTCATTTCTCATCAACATAGGCATTACAACAGATCATTCAATGCCTACAAAAACATCAACATAGGCATTACAACAGATCATTCAATGCCTACAAAAAGATCAACAACAGTCATTTCATCCCATTTCCTGTTATGGTTTTAGACTTAGTTTTCAATAATGTTTATATATTCTAAATTCTATTAAGCCCCACTTACACCTCCTCCCCCCCCCCCCCCCCCCCCCCCCCCCCCCCAAAAAAAAAAAACCGCTAACTTTTCTAGTAAGAACCGACGCATAAATTCTAACTAATTTTCTTCCAGTTAAATTCCACCCATCATGTACTGTGTTCTCTAACATTTTACTTTCCCTGTGCCAGCTTCACAGCAAATATAAAGTTTTGTATGTGTGTGGAAAGTTAGGATATATTACAATATTCTAGGACTGAAGTAGTCAAGTACACCACTGGCTTTAAAAATGAGTTTTCTAAATATTCTGACAGTCTATGCAGAACTGAAAATTGGCGACAGATTAAAAACTAGAAAGGAAACAGTATTTGAGAACAAATAACTGATATTTTGTAAAAATTAATAAAATAAATGCAAAAAGAAATAAAGGATGGAGAAAAAATAAGATCAGGGTTTCCTTGAAATAGACCTTGGTAAGATCTATGTAGGTCTTTGAGCTGATAAATATTTCTACAATTCAAAACTAAATAGCAGCAAAAATTCTCCTGCCAGTTGAAAAGTTGATCATAATTTATGCATTTAATGAAGAAAAAGATCACTGTTATTTTTCATCTGATGACATCTGCTGTTGAACTTTCAGATTTGCTATTCTGCCTCTACTGACATGTCAAATATAAACACAGTGTTTGCTGACCTTAAATACCTGACTAATAAAATAGCTAATGTCATGTTTAGAAGCCATTGTCCACAATCATATTTTCATTTCGCATTTGATAGGAATTCGTACTGACATACTTTACGTTCACATACGTGCGATTACTTTTACATATTAACACCCGTATTTACTGACACCATCTGAACATGGGTGCTCCACATTAATATCATTTGAACATGTAAAAAAAATTATAATAAAACAACATAATAATATACAAATTCATAAGTAGTGAGACAGATCTAATAACATTAATTTTTACATGAACACTTTTTTACAGTTGATGCAGCTTAAGGTCCATGTGGGTTGTGACATATGATAAAATTGTGTATGTGTGGAGACTTATAGGGGAGATTGATACTTTTAGATATTGTTCAAACTCAAGTAAATAATATCATAACACTTTTATTCTAATGTGTTAGTATATAAAAGTGTTAAATTTAAGTAAAGAATTTAAAAATTAACTTTTTTCATTTCTATATTTTCTATTATGCATGCATATACTATATTTTTAATAATTCACTTTGTATTATAGTATTAAGTGCAAAAAGCAATCTCGCATGTTATAATATACACTTCATACAGTCGTGCGACCTAAGCTGCACTGTGTCATGGGATGTAGGCTGCACTGGGTCGTGGGACGTAGGCTGCAATCTCTCATCGGACGTAGGGGGTTGTGGTTAGGGCCATTTCTGTTTGTTTTGGGACCATTAAAAGAGTTCACTACAACACTCGATATTGCCGACCAGTGACAACTAGTAAAATGCTGGTAACTGGTCACTAAGCGTGACATCCTCGCAACATAGGACAAGCCCTCCGATGCGGTGATTCATGGTGAATGACAAGGAAAGTCACTCTCTTTTTGGGATAAGTAAAGGACCCTTTTCCATGCCTTTAGGCGTATAGGGCTAGACCTATATTTTTTAGACCGATTGGCACAAGATGGCTGATTTGGTCAGCATCACGCTAGCTGCTTTTACTTCCCGGTACTGCATCCGGTACCCACTCAAGGCTGGGTTGACCTGGGAGCTAAGGTCATTTTTTGGAAAAAGTTCGGCTCCGCCAGGGAGCAAACCCATGACCTTCCGATCAGCAGGCAAGCATCTAGCTGCCTTGATATGGTGACTCCCTCTTTCTGGGGTGGATAATGTAAAAAAAACAAAAATATGAATTGAGAGTATTGCTATAAGAACTACAATCAAAATAAGTGTAAACTACACATATACCCTAACTGTTCTTTACTCAATATACTAAGTGCACACTCAACAAAATTATGTGGTCCAATTCCCTTGAAACAAAGCCAAATACAAAACTGACTTACTCTTAGCTGACATATGACAATCTCCATTGTTGTGATTTAATCAATAAATAATATAAATAATGTGTAGATATTGTACAAATGGGCTTTGAGTATCAATAAACATAGCTGTGATCTGTTATAATTGGCATTTTAACCTTTTTTAGAGTAGGCTGTTCTTGCAATATTATAATTAAAACAATGATTAATACCGTTCAGTTTGAATGTCAATCTAAAATTATAAAATTCAAACTATTTTCAAACTATTAACTTAAAACAATTTTGTAGAGAAAATGATGACAAGTATCGTCAAAGCTTTTCAGATGAAGAGATAATGTTGAGTTACAAGACTAAAAACAGATTTCAAGAGAAAAGTTTTCTATAAAAGAAAGAATACTGTATTTTTGTTTTGTACTTTTACATTGATTTTATTTCCTAAAGCTTGCTGAAAGCTAACTCTTCACATGTGATGTTTAGTTTTATAAAATCACTTAACCTTTTGAAGATTACTTTCAAGTACAAGAAGTGATGACCACTTTCGACAACAACAACAAAATAACTTATGCGCTCATCACAAATGCATTAACATGGCAGATCAAGTACATACATGAGGGCTATTCTACTAGGTTTGCTCAGGGGCTAAAATTTTGAACATAAGGATCGTTATGGGCCACATGCCCGAGCCTAAGTGTGAAAAGATCACTAATACAATGATCTGCAGGCCGTTTGCTAAGCCTCTGCGGGCCAGATTCGACCCGCGGGCTGACAGTTGAATAACCCTGAAATACATGAGTTGCCAAGGAAACCATACTTGAATCAGCACATGAAAGCTTTGGGTCAATGCAGCCTACCGGAGGCTGTGCCCTGCTTGTGGTCTCAAGCAGTGGAGGTTTCATGCTGTTCATGGGTGTGCATAGGAACCAATTGTTCTGTGTATGGCAATAAATATTAATGGATGTGATTAACAGGTGTCAAACAGTTCTTTATGAAGGGCAGGGAATTTCTTCTCAAAGTCGGCTGGAGATTTCATCTTGATCATCTTCAGAAACTTCAGATGGTCTTCGTTGATTTTGTGGAAAACTGGCACCAGATTTATCAATGAAGTCAATGTTTGTTCAGCATCTGAAAGCAAAATAATTTATGAATAAGACTTAATATTAAATTATGTGTACCATAACTTAATTCTAAAATCATCTTTAACATTTGTTTTCTGTTTATAGTCTTTTTTTCTTATCACAAAATCAATAGAAATAACTTAATCATCTTGAAAGTAAATGCTCAATAATTTTTTTTCTTTAAATTGTCTCAGCCATCATATTAAATGTGTTGTAAATAAACTTGAAAGATGGAACTGTAGAAGCAGATGTGCTGTAAATGGGCACAACGCAATGACATCTTTGGATGAACACATAAGAAGAAGAAGAAAGAAGAAGAAGAAGAAGAAGAAGAAGAAGAAGAGAAAGAATACTGTGACTATCTTTAAAAAAATTAAGACCAGATCAAAAGTTGTTAAAAGAAAACAAATAATAATTAATGGTCACTTAGCCTTGTAAAAATGCAACTAAATAAATTCAGTCTTTAGTATTTTACATTTGTTGCTTATACATTTTTTTATTTTGTTTTTTAAATATAGGAATATAACACGATAGGTGTTTAATTATTTTTGAGACTTTATATAAGTGTCCTGAACACAAGATAGCCAGAATCTCACCTTGGTGGCTCTCTTTCAACTTCAAGTAAAGTGACTGAATAAACAGCTGCTGAAGAGCACTGACTGCTGCTTGGTTTTTTAGGCTTTGTCGTTCTGAGAGAGAAAAATGCAACAACAGTTATTTAGGTTCTATCATGTATTTTATTAGTCTATCTAGAATCTTCTTTAACATTCTATAAACCTATTTCAGCATTCCACGTTAGTTTTCAGTCCTGGCTCTCTCCTTCTCAACAGTTATTGTGAAACCTTATTTGACTATCATTCTCTTTCTAGAATCTTTCTTTCTCCAAACTTCTTTCAACCTTAATCCTTGCCACTTATTCTTCATCTTCTTCTTTTGTGTTCACCCAAAAAGGTGAATCTGATTTCAGCAAACCCAGAAATAGTCCTATTTGTGACATGCTTGTTAGTGGGCAGTGGTTCTGTTCACTACCTTCACCCTCTCCCCCAGCTCAAATGGAGCTCTGGAACCCACAGATTGAGGTCACTTATTCATTTCACAATAAAATCAAAACTTACAAGCATTCATTCACCTTAAAAGTATTTAAACAATTTCTTTAGCTGCCCGAGTCATTTCTGGCCCAAATTGCATAGATCTCAATATGACCTAGTCTCATAAATAATTTTTCTTGTAAATAGAGTTTACCAACTGGCCTTATTATTCAACTCATAAATATTCACCCAGGCAAGTTTATAGTGACAAATTTAAAAAAAAAAAGTTCTTTTTACATAGTTCAATCATTACCTGGGCTAATCAGAAGGATTGCAGTAAAGAGTCCGATTTCTCCGTCGTTAAGACCCAGCGGATTGAACTGGTTTGCAACATTAAAGAACTGGTCCAAAAAGGGACCCATTGGCATTGACTGCACCATGTTTCTGATGAAAAAAAAATGATTCTTTAAATACAGGTGGAAAAATTGCTGATGAATTATTCAATCTTAAAATAATAAAAACTACATTGATCTCTCTCCATCAGTTGTTACTCTGATTTCTTAAATAACAACAAGCTTTATACTAAAAGTGTTAGCTGTTTGGTCAGAAGTAGTTAAAATAATTATTAAAATTAAAAAGTTAAAGTTAGTTGCGTATCCTTTACAGGACGTTGCAGAACCAACCCTAACAGCCCCTGGCTGTTGTGTGGTTTCTCTAGGCAATTTACGTCCAGTAGTTTGCCATTGCTTGCTGGACGGTCGGCTTTCTTGATACCACTGTCGAAACCAACGCAAGGCGCATTGCCCGCAGCTGGGATCGAACCTGGCATCCCGGCATTACGAAGCGAAGCGTTCGCATCGACTTAGCAATTATTAAAATAAAGAACAAAAAATATAAAGTAACAATTTCAATGCTGTGGAAAACTGTAATAATGGTCTGCCACGTAGAAAATTAATAAAGCATGCCATTTATGAAGTTTCAAATAAATGTGTTATAAGTTCCTAAATGCAAAAAAAAATCACTCAAGAAAGTTTGATGCTCTCACATTTGAAAAAAATAATCTAATTTGGTATCATTTTGTTGACACTACATATACAATTATAAAAGCCAGTGTTTTTAATATTAGCAATTATTTACCTTGGTGCCTTTACTTGAAGAGTTGGGTCAAGCATCTCCTCTTTGACATGATCTATTAGGATGCAAAAGCGTGCCACCATGACCTCAAAACAGCCCTGTTTAATCAGTTTAATTTTGTCCTCTTGGTCAATTTCAGCAAAGCCAGGCAGTTTTGTGCAGAACTGGATGACTTTTGTGATTTCTGGCAACATGGCGCCCATAAAGTGCTGCCACAGATTGGTGCTGTTGATTGACAGCGAAGACATGTCAGGCTGTGGGAGAAAATAATCAAAAGTCAAATAAAGTTTACGTTAATCAAACCTAATGTGTACATTTTTCAAGAAATTCTTTATATGTTTTATTACATAAAAGCAACACCGGCTGCAGTAATAGTAATAGTAGTGGTAATAGTAGCAGTAACAGCAGCTGGAGTAGTATTTTAGCAGTAGTGTTAGTTTTTTTAGTAGTAGTAGCACTGACAGTAGTCATAAATGAAGTACTAGTGTTGCTGTAGTAGCAGTAGCTGCAGCAGCAACAGCAGAAGTAATAGTAATATTTGCAGCATTAGTAGAGATAGTAGTAGTAAGTAAATCTCATTTATGCCGAAGGTTTTTAACTTTTTTATGACTATATGCTATATGACTGATGAACATTTTTTATAATAATGAAAGAAAATGTATTGTTTATTTCTTCTTCTTCTTCTTTTTCTACTTCTTCTTTTTCTTCGTGTTCACCAGCTGCAATCTCTGGTAGAAAGTTCAGGTTGTTTGTCTGCTTCTGTATTTTATTCTTGTTTCAGAACTTGAGTTTTGCATGCACATTCGTTTTACAGATGTGGCTTATTTGTCTGCAGGCTTACCTCTCCGACTTTAAAGAGAACATCCCTGTTTGTTCAAGTTTTACAACATGCTTGTTAGGAAGACAGTGAGTCTATTTCTCCCCTACCCCTCCCATAATGGGGTCCCAGAACCCACAGTGGGAGGATTACAATGTAGAATTCAAATAAAATGATGCTCAGAACAACATAAATCAGACACTCACCATATCAGCAGTTTCCCTCTTTATTCTTTCATTGGCTGCTTCCACATTAGCAAATGTGTTGATAGTTGTGTTCATGTGAGCATCAACAATCGCTCCTGTCACTTGCTCGATCAACTGCTGTCTTGAGTCTACCACCCGCTCACGAACCTGATTATTAGACAAATAGAAAGTTTGATTATTTATATGAAAATATTATGTGATATTTATTAAATATCTTCCGTATTAACAATTGATTATGTTAACTAGCAGTACTGTATGTACTGATTTCACTTATTCTGTATTATACGTTTTTAGCCCTAATCCACTTGATGCCAGTTTTTCTTGAAACCTTTTTTTGTAAAACTAGATGTTTACAACACAGAGCTATAATCACCTCTGGGTGAGCTAGGCATCTTAACCTTCAAGAACCAATTTAAAAAAGACTACTGTAACATCTCTTCCTCTAATATCTCTTTGGATGTGATCTTGTCTTGTCAACTAATACTAAATATTCTTCATAAACTCGGCATGTATATAAACATTATAGCCAATTTGGCATATACTGCAGCTGGCTTATTAATAATAACATAACTAAATGAAAATAAAACTTACCTCTGAAATAATCTGTGCAATATCAATGGTATTATTTGCATTCGTATCAGGAACATTGGTTCTTGCTAAGGTTGGTTCTAGTTTCTTCTGAGCATCCTCAGTCTGCAAAATAATGATAACATCTTTAACATGGCTGTTACAAAATAGCAACTTCTGATTTCATTTTAATATGTAAATTATGTGTTCTTTTTTAAAAGTGTTGTCTCTTAACCTTTATTATCTATTATCTTCTAGAAAGTATAATTTATTTGCTTATTCTCTAACTTTTTCGTCATTTACTATACTGTAGCAATTTATTTTTCATAAATTATGCTTGAAAATCAAAGTTCACCAAAAGTGCTCACATATTTTTGCTGTTTATTTAGAAATATTTTAATACCCAAAGTATGACTTGCTAAAGACATATCTAATATATTTGAACAAAGAAGTCACCAACAATAGATTGCACAATTTTTTGCCTGGCAGATTTTGCTGTATCTTGTTGGGCGGATACCCCAGTAACAATTGATTAAAATGAGGCAACTAAATGCATCCTTCTAACTGAAAGACACAACTAACAACATTCAAAAATTGTTTCACAAGGGTAAACACAAGGTGAAGACCATGTCCTTTTGTCTGCACAGTTCTGGACTCAGCCAATTTATAGCTGTTGCTTCCACTTCAGAGAAGTATTAAGATTACTTCAGTACTTGTTACTACAATTACTTTGTGTAACAAAGCTTTTTTCTGTAACTATTGTTTAATATAAGGATAAATGAACAAACAAACAAAAAAAAAGCAACAACTGATGTAGGTACTTACCACATGTTTCAGTGTTACAACATTGGCATTGATATTCTCTGCAGTCTCCGCAGTAGCCCCAATATTAATGTTGGTTGTAGTATTGTTGTTGAGGTTGCCATTGGTTCTTGTTCCTGGGGAGGTCAGATTGAGTTTGTTGAGCTGATTGAGGTTGGGAGGGGAGCTTGTGCTCATGTTGTCAAGGGATATAATGCTGGGCAAGTTGTCATTGGCAAAGCGGGTGCTGGACAGGTAAACTGAAAACATACCCAAATGAAAAAAGTCCAGGTAATTCCATGCAGGGAGATTTATTCATCTGATTATTATGCATGCAAGGCAGGTCGAACAGGCATTTTGCATTGTGTGTAGTTTTTACAATCGGATACTTCGGAATCCCACTTAATTTCTGACCGTGGTTAGTTTCTGTTTATGCTTCCCAGGTTTACACTATGCAGATTTTGTTGGAGTCTTGTTCACATGTCTAGGTGGTGTCCTCACAGTATATTTAGTTTAATTTCGTACAAGTTTCTAGAGAGCTAACTTCTGGGGTATGACTTTTATAGGTATGTGATTATGAATATGGGTTTAAACCTACTTATGTTGTGGAACTGCTCAAGACAAACATAATGAGAAAGGTAGTTGGTTATTTAATCTCATAGAATCAATCTACTGCGTGAGCAATCTGTAGAACTTGACTTCTATACAGAAGTATATGGTTCACAGAATTATTCTTTTTTATCTCGTTCCTCGTATTTCTGTTACCATCATGACTATCCAGTCTCATATAGTTAGATAAAAGTAAGCTGCTTATGTATTATTTTGTACTGTGCAGCTTTTTAAACTGTCCACAATAAATTTCCTCCTCTGCCTCCCTTTTCTTGTACTTTTCCCTACGGAGTCTGTTTCTCTTATCCATGTCTGCTAAAATTCCCCCATAAATGACAAGAAAGAATTTAAGCAGACATATGGGCGCGTGCGCACACACAAAACCCACACAAAAAATAATATCACACAGGGGGGAAGCACATAAAAGGATGTTAAAAAGTTATTTAATAATGTGCAGTAAAAAAATACATTCAGTTACCATAATTATAGATCTAAAGAAGACTGAAAAAGATTAAAATTTATGTAAATAAAATTTTTAAAAACTTGAACCTGCAATTGTCATTATGACATTTATTTTTGCTTTTTTCCCTTGAAATTATGAGAATTGTAAATACATGGTTATAAATTTATTGTAATTAGAAAAATATATTCGGCACTAACTGGCCAAGTGGTTGCAAAACTGAGCTCTCAGTCTGAGGTTTAGGTCTAGGTTTAAATCTTCATTAAAATTCTGGAATTTTGTTCTGTCAGTGATAAAAATAAATTCCTGACCTTTACAATTAGTGACAACTTTACAGCCTTATGACTCTGAATTCTCAAGCTAAAATGAAACCCATACTCTACAGACACCTTACAAGGGTTAAGATAAGAGCAGTAAAAGATAGTTAGAACAATAACATTTAAATAAACATATTCTAATGTTTTAAGAATTAGATGACAGAGCCACACAAAGTGTTAGATTAATACAGACTTGCATGCTTAAAAAAAAAAAAAAACTATTTAAAAAAAATATGTGGCTTACCAGAATTTCCATTGAGGTTGTCACCATAACTGATGTTGCCAGGTGTGCTTGCAGCAGAATATTCTGGCGAATTAGCAGACATCTGGGCAGGATGAGAGCTCAATGGACATTCCTGAGAAGTCCAGGTTGATGCATTCAGATTTAAGTTGACATCTGTAGGTGGAGATGGCTGGACTGATGCGCCAGTTGAGGATAAAGTCCCTCGTTTGACGAAGGGATGACAGATAGCTCTGCAGAAGTAATGTGTATATTATTTTTTAAGCAAAACGCACAACAATTTGAATTTAACTGGTAATTTATGATGAATTTTTTCACTTTTTATTTGTTCGTCTTAAGGTGGTTTGTTGGCTGGTTGACTGGTTGACTAATTGTTTGACTGGTTGACTGAGACAGGGTAGCCACAGTAGTATGACACTTGCCTGCTAATTCAGAGACCGTCAAATGCACATCAAGGTGAATTTTACTAAGTGATCTCGGTTCCGAGAGTGAACCACTCTAAAATGGATACAAGAAATATCTTTAAAAGTAAAGGTGACTGGCTTGATTCGGCCATGATGTTTAGTTTAAGACATGTGGAGTAACAACAGTCATTTTTAATGGGCCTTAACCAACAGTAATTCACGAGGGGCTGTGTTGATAGCATGGTCCATGTGGTAGCTCCACGGTAGCTTAACCTGCAAGCCGATCAGCTTGCTCATTTTCTTGCACACCTGTAATATGTTGATAGTGACATTTTGCAAAGATCCAGTTGCATGGTGGTGATGACGTAGCAGATAGTACATGGTGATGATGATTATGTATAAGAAAAAAACAGCAAATTACCTGCATCAAGGCAGACTTGAAGGCACCATCAGTATCTATCAGTTTCATGAGTTCAGCCATTGTAGTGATTTGATCTTGGTGGTAGAAGTGCGATTTCTGATGAAAACGAGGTTGTTTGTATTCACAACTTGGCAGCAAGCTGAGAACTGACTTCAATAGTTAGGACTTGAAACTGTTAAAGACAAACAAACAAGTGTTACTTTAACTTATTTTGCACAGAGAAAATTACCAAACGTTCAAAGGTCTTCGTGAGTCATTTTCTTTCAAGACATCTTCATTACTCGTGTCATCTCTTCAAGCTATTCTCGTCAGACGTCTACGAAGCCACATATACGCAGCTTGTGAAACTGATTTTTTGCTAAGCATCCAGTTGATTCACTATGATGTTAAACTCGTTTTTTTTTTCCCCATAGACCAATCGGTGCTCGATGGCTGATGTGGCCCAACATCGTGATGGTAGCCTCTACTTTACAGGACAACATCTGGTATCCAGTTTAGGCTGGCTCGAGCTGGAAGCCAAGGTCACTTTTGAAAGAAGAAACATTCAACATAATTCGCATTTCGTGACTAGACCTTGGGGCGGGAGGACAGTTTCTAATCCTTGGCTTATTCGACTAAATTTACCCAGGGGCCAAAATGTCGAAAATAAGGATCCTCACGGGCCAATTGCCGGAGCTCAAGCATAGAAAGATCATTAGTTCAGTACAACTGGCAATGATCCGCGGGCCAAATGCTAGGCTTCAGATTTGAACTGTGAGCCGCCAGTTAAATAGTCTTGGACTCTAATCATTATGTCACAACGGCCCCATTGAATACCGTATTTGTCTATGTATAAGGTAGTAGGCTTATGTGTTCTAATTTTTTTTGCAAGTTTAAAATTGAGCCTTGTCTTATACATTAAAATGTGTTTAATCCCCCCTCACCCCCCCCCCCTATTTTGATCTAGAAAAAACGGGGAACGACTTATGCACGAAAAAAAAATAAGGGATTTTCTGGGAACTAAAATGTTGACACCCCTTATCCCCCCCCCCCCCCCACCCACCCCCTACCCAATTAAACCCCTGCTTTACCAGACTGAAGAATGTTTTTCGGTTAACATGTCCCTAAAAGTGCGGACGCATTTCTCCTGGTAATGACAAAACGACCGACCTTGGGGCGTTTGGGCAACAGCCGACCCAGTGCTTAAAAGCTGCCCTTTCGTCTAGCATAAGGTTATACTGACATACAAGAAAATATTCGGTCAATTGCTTTATACAGCCACCAGCTGTGGGGCTCGTGAAGCTAAAACAGGGAGGCTGCAGCTGGATCACAGGGAGGAAAGGTCGTTGGTAATTGCCTGATTATCGGGTCTCATTTTGAGGGAGGGAGGAAGGGGGGTGCAGATGTTGCAGAATGACTTTGGAGTTGGCGACAGGGGTGTTAGTTGCAACTGAGATGATTTAGAAGTATATATTACGTATTTTAGAGACCCTTATACATACTAAATCGCTAAACGTTTGTTAACTATTTCAAATAAAGTATAATCTTCTACTTATGTTGTAAAAATGAAGTAGAAAAAAAAAGAAGGACGAGAAAAAAGAGAATGAGGAGTATGAGGGGTAGAAAGCAGAAGAACAGGAATAAGAAGATGTATAAAAGGAGAAGAAGGGGGAGGGGGTAGAACAAGAAGAAGAAGAAGAAACCTTTGATAACTGGATCCAACTGCACTTATAGTAGCGTGAAGGGTGCTAAAATAGTCTTTTTATGGGACCGGTTTCTCATTTAAATTCAACCTTGAGGATTGTCCTATTCAGACTGTTTTTCCCGACACACAGTTGCAAAAACAGAAAAGCACTATTTGCTTTGCTTAATAACTTTTGGTTTCATGGTTCAGCAGTTTGCAGTTTGATTGCTGGAAAAACAGTCTTAAAAAATAAAAATAAAAATTCGAGCAAATATATGGTTGGGTAGCTACAGGGCATTTGTACTTTTGATCAAGTGTGCATCGTTGTCGTTGACGTTCAACGTAAATCTTTTGCAAAATGTCGCTCTCGTCTCAGTCTAAAGAAAAGACTGTTTCAACCTCTAGCCATTTCGTCTGCCTTATGTTCAATCCTGAAGTGTCTTTATCGCCAGATTTTCGTCCTTCTCCACCTCGCCACCTTCAACGATCATTTTCTTTTTCTTCGATTATTAGCCTTTTTAAAAGCCATCGGGCAGTTCAAGTCTCCCCGTGTACCATGCAGCTTTGTCTTCATTGTGCTTGTAACAGGGTAGACTGCGTCTCTGTTGGCAACATACAGTTGACAGTCAGATTTGTATTCCTCTTCTGTCTAAGCTACTGCGAAGACTGGTTTGAACAAAGTATTTTAGTTTCTGGGATAATATACTTTTTATGCTGCGCTATTCTCCATCACGTATATGCTATATAATTTAAATTATGTTTTCTTTTGGCTTCACGGAATTCTAAAATAGTTTATGAACCAAACGGCCTCTTTGCTACATAAAATGGTTAATAATAATATTAATAATAATAATGGGTCTTTAGTAATTAAATGGAATTTTTGGGTGCCAGTAGACAGCAATAGCTGGGGCATATGGAGAGAATGGCAGATAACAAAGTGACACAACCCGCGTATGCACACACACACACACACACAAAAAGGTGGGAATAGACCACGAGGCCGACCAAGAAGCTGGTGGAGAGGTAATATCAGGAAGTCATCAACTGGAAAGAGAAGGCAAATCACAGATGACTGGAGGTGTTGATATCAACAGAATGGGGAAGACTAAAAAGATCGATTCTTCCATTGTCAGACGTCAGTTTGAATATAACTTGTACAAAAAGCAACAGTCAGTGTAAGCATGTTGACATCTCCATAGAGTTTGTCATCGAAATCGCATGATATTGACCAAAACGGATTTTTTACCTGTAGTATATTATGGAGTGTGGGATATTAAAGAAAGGCGAAAAGGGGGTGTGGGATATGAGTTGAAATAAAAGGAAAAAGTAATTAGTTTAAACAGGAGACCATTGTATACTGTATAAAAAATATGAATGGTTGTAGACCACGAGGCAGACCAAGAAGACGATGGAGAGATAATTTCCACTCAGACCTGCAAACATTTAGTGTTAAAAACTGAAAAAAGAAGGCTAGCTAGAGAGGTTAATGGAGGCGGGTGATATCTACAGCAATAAACCTCGATGGCAGGGAATGCTGAAGAAGAACACGAGACCATTTGGATAAGAAAGAAAAAGACACAAGGCATAAGATGAATCATTAACAAACTTAAAATATAAAAAAAAAAAAAAAATACCGGGCAGTACATGTTGGCTTGCGACTGATATATGGCTTAAAAGTCATAATGTCAAGCAAACATGCGGAGACAGCCAAGTGTATATAAATATATATACACACACACACACACACACACACATATATATATATATATATATAATAAAAAGATGTTAACTTACCAAATTGTGATCCGAGTCTCTGAAGTATTGAGCAAGAAGCAGCGTCGCTTTATAAAGGCACTGCACAGTAGAACAGTCTATTTTTGCCGGTCAGAGAGGGGCGGCAGGTTTTTTGTGCAAGGGGAAAAAAACGGTTAACGGCTGTTGCGCGGAAAGTATTTGACAAGGAATGCTTTCTTCTCAAAACTCGGTGACATAAAAACGTGGGGGGGGAGGGGCGGGTGGGGGGGGGGGTGGGGGGGGGGGGGGGGGGGGGCGGCTGGGAAAGTTATGATGGGGGGAAAAGATTAGTCTAGAAACATAGTGGGTTTTATCCTGGTGTGATAAAAGACAGTATTTGCCGTTTGTGTGTTTTCTGGGGCAGCGGTGCTTAGAATTGAAGTGTTTTCTTTTTAACAATGCATTTCCACGTAAATACTAAGCAAAACAAGTTAACAATTCACTTTATTGTCTATCTTCTTCTTCTTCTTCTTCTTCTTCTTCTTCTTCTTCTTCTTCTTCTTCTTCTTCTTCTTCTTCTTCTTCTTCTTCTTCTTCTTCTTCTTCTTCTTCTTCTTGCACGGTGTTACCAGTTAAGACCAGGAATGAAATTCCTCTTCTCCATAACACAAAATCTCTTTAGTATTGCAAAGACCATTAATTGCCCATGAAGCATTATCCCACACTCAACTTTGCTTCGTTAACTCCAAAGTAGAAGCAACACTTATGCTTTTGGAACAAAACGTGCTGCAGAATCTGACCGTTATGGAAAGGAAAAATCGAAAAGAAACTATGCCAGGCGACACATACTTGGAAAGACAGTCAGTCTGAAGATATGGTACGAATTAAAATAATAAAATGTGTCTTATGTAATCTATGAGGAATGAATAACTAGCCTATTTATTCACACTCGCACACACACACACACACACACACACACACACAAGCAATTCGTCTTTTTCTACTCCTATCTTCTATTGTCCGTCGGCTCTGTGGCTAAGTCGATGCAAACGCTTCCTAATGCCGGGATGCCGGGTTCGATCCCAGCTGCGAGCCATGCGCCTTGTGATGGTTTCGACAGTGTTATCAAGAAAGCCGACAGTCCAGAAAGCAATGGCAAACTACTGGACGTAAATTTGCCTAGAAAAACCACACATCAACCAGGGGCTGTTGGGGTTGGCTCTGCAACGTCCTGTAAAGGATACGCAACTAACCTTCCATTGTCCTGCTGCTTACGCAGAGCCGCAGAGAGGACTTAGGTATTGGTTTCTGTTTGTTTCTAGCTGCCTAGCTTGTGTCAGTATCATATGTTTCTGTAGTGTCTCTTTCACTCCGTCCGCTCATGTCTTTCCTTGTCGGTCTCCTGCCTTGTATCCCACTCTTCTCATTGAGCGAGCCAAACGAAAAGGGATAAAACAAGAATGAAGATGGCAAAAGAAATGTGGTTAGGACAATAAGTAGTTCTCCGCTGAACTGCAACAACGGAATAAGTAAAAGAAAAACAATGGTTCTTCTCTGCAGTGGCCATGGCATATAGAGGCGATGAATGTGTGAATAATGAGTTAAGCAAAAACAACAATATATAACTACAAAGGCAGCACCCATTCAGATCACGTGCACGAACTGGTCCTATTAAAAAAAAAGGATTATAATCATCACATTCAAGAGCTATTTACTTTCCTGAATACAAAACTAGCGTGCTTCGCAGATATAA